TTGTGTTTTTTTTTTAATTATTTCACGTTTTGTTATGGAATCCGGATAATGGGAAAAACATGTTCGGAAATCCGGGCAAAGCAGGGCGTGTCTGCACATTATCCGGTCTTAAAAGGGGATCGAAATATGCAAATATCAGATTTTTCATTTATATATTAACGATGAAAATGTCTTTGTTTTTTTCGGTTTCCAAATTATTGAACGAATTTTGATGTTATCAAGAATAAGCAGCCAGTGCAATTATAACTTATTAAATAATTATGTTGTAATACAGTTTGTCGCAACAATAATTATACCAATTATCCTATAGATGTTATGTAGTAACATTCTTCATGCAAACTGCAAATTATCTGCTTACAGGAAATACATATTAGATAAGAATTTCCTTTACACATGTTAAGTATAAAACATAACAGTTGGAATTCATGAAATAACAAAATTAAAATGACAATATAGAGAAAAGGCATTTTTAACAATATTGCATTATGACAAGGGGTAGATGGTTGTCATTTTTTGCCTTTTTTTTTATTTATTAAATTTGGATATTTGTCTGTTTTTTAAAACTTCATCCTGCAGAATATGCATATGCATATAGATATATCCTGATTCATATATGTATTCATATATATATATATATATATATATATATATATATATATATATATATATATATATTATATATATTATATATATATATATATATATATATATATTATATATATATATATATATATATATATATATATATATATATATATATATATATATATATATATATATATATATATATATATAATATATATTATATATATATATATTTATTTTTATATATACATATCTCTCTCTCTCTCTCTCTCTTCTCTCTCTCTCTCTCTCTCTCTCTCTCTCTCTCTCTCTCTCTCTCTCTCGTATATATATATATATATATATATATATATATATATATATATATATATATATATATATAATATATATATATATATATATATATATATAGTATATATATATATATATATATATATATATATATATATATATATATATATATATATATATATATATACATATATATATACATATATATATATATATATATACATTATATATACATATACATATATATATAATATATATATATATATATATATATATATATATATATATAATATAATATATATATATATATGGAATGTGTATATGCCTAATGATCTCTCCATCCAGGAATAGTACTTAATACCAGCATATATGTGTAACTGGATTATTTATACACTGTGGAAATATTTTCTTCATTGCAGTTACATAATTTAAGGCAAAACCAGAATATAATACAATAATAGTATAGTCTACTGCATCTTGACAAGGGTATGATATTTGCAGGTACTTACTCTATGACGTGAATCCTGGAGAGGGATTTAACCTGCGCAGAGATGTTTATGTTCGCATTGCAAACTTAGCGCGCAGGCTGAGTGAGATGGACAATTGGATTTTGGTGAGTAAAATAATTGACGTTAAGATTGGTGGTGTTGAATAACAGTAAATGAGATATATAGGTATTATTTATGTGAAGGTATGTCTTTTATGGATTTATCATTTATTTTAATGAACATATATTTTGCAAATTGTTTATTTGGAGTAAGTTGTATATTCTTATGAACAGATATTCTTATAAACATTGCATATTTTTAGTTGTATTTTTTTAGAATTGCTAAGAAATATTTTACACAATGCATATATATGTCTATATTTATCTATCTATATAGATGTATATGTATATGTACATATATATATATATATATATATATATATATTATATATATATATATATATGTATGTATGTATGTATGTATGTATATTATATACAGTGATAGAGATTAGCTTCAAATCAATATATTTATATGTATATATATTTTGTATTTTATTTTTTTCATTCTTTTTTCCTTTCTTTTCTTCTCTTTTTTTTCTTTAGGAAAGTTTTCTGTTTTCTCTACCAGTGTAAGATTATATTAAGAGATTAGATTTCATTTAACTTTTTTTTTTTCATCTTTTATTTATAGACAGAGAATTTTGTATTAACTTGCTTTTATGAATAAATAGAATTATAGATTTTTATCATATATCCTCTTTTTTATTTGTTTGTTGGTTAACAGACAGGGCCAGATTTAGGAGTTGGTAGTGTGGGCAGCTACCCACGGGCCTTCACATTAAGTGAATTAAATTTGTAAAACCATTATATATGAATATCACTTTTGCAATGATGAGAAAAGCATGTACTGAATATTTCCATTTTATCAAAGAAAATATCTCTCAGAAAGTGAGCCTAAGTTGATCATTGTTGATTAATATATATAATAAATTACTGGGCATGATAGGAAAATTCAGTTGCTATTCATTAATATTAGAGGCCTGAGATATATATATATATATATATATATATATATATATATATATATATATATATATATATATATATATATAATATATATATATATATATATAATTATACATATATATATACATATATACATTTTTTCTTTTCTTTTTTTTTGTCTGTCTGTCTTTCTGTCATTCTCAAAGCTTGTGAAGATTTCTCTCTGTCACTGACCTATTTTTCTCTTCCTTTTTGTTTTTTTTTACAACTTTAGAGGGATCTTGTAGCAGGTAAGTTTCAGAAAAAAAGAGTAAATAAATAGGATACATTTGGATACATGTCACTATTGAAAAATCAATAAATGCCCGGATCTCTCTTGAATTTTACTGATAGAAGAAATGAATAGGATTTGGAAACAATGAATCTGGATGTTTTTACAAAACCTAAACATTGCATGCTTTACCAAAGAGAAATAATGTTATAGGTTTGAACATTCTGTAAAGTAAACACACAAAATGATGCATTTTCCTATATAGAGTTACTTCAAAATTTATGCATATGAAGTTTTAAAATGGAAATGTTCACTTGAATCTTATAGAGGACTTCAGTTATATGCACATGAAGGCTGCACAAGGATCTCCATACATCTAAATTTGGCCCTGCAGAGCAATAATATTATAAGAACAATGAATGTATAAAAATTATTGTGTTTTTATTGAATCTATATTCATATTTTATTAACATACTCATATCTATAAAAAGCATAAAGCATAAAAAAAAAATTACGTTGTATATATTCTTATTTATTTATTTATTTTTTTATGATGAAGGCTTTTATGAAGAGATTTATTTTTTGATCAGCATTTTATTAAAATTTTATAACACATATATGCTAAACAACTGAATTGAAATTGATTCAGGTGCTGCCCCCATGGGGAAGGCTGTACCACTGGAAGAACACACGAGGAGAGTATTTTCCGTGGCGCAGTTTCTTTGACATAAAAAGCCTCAGCAAATGGACTCCTGTCATTGAATTTGAGGATTATTTGAAAGGTGTGTTTGTTTTTATGGATTTATTTGTTTATGGACTTACAAGTAATATTATGATTATTGATCCCTAAACTGTAAACGCCTTGAATCATCTTGAACATCTTCTAGAAGCTTATATGTAGAAAGATACTAAGTTAGGCTGAGTTGATTAACTTTATTAATAAGATATGTTGTCTAGTAAGAAAGAGGGCAAAACAGTTTCTGCAAAAGTTAAATATGGAAAAAAATTGCTGTAACAATACTAATTATGTATACTTATATAAGTAATTTTTTGTTTCTCAAGAAGTTGATTAAATCTTACTCAGCCTTGCTTGCCTCTCTCTCTCTCTCTCTCTCTCTCTCTCTCTCTCTCTCTCTCTCTCTCTCTCTCTCTCTCTCTCTCTCTCTCTCTCTCTCTCTCTCTCTCTCTCTCTCTCTCTCTCCCTCTCCCTCTCCCTCTCTCTCTCTCCCTCTCCCTCTCCCTCTCTCTCTCTCTCTCTCTCTCTCTCTCTCTCTCTCTCTCTCTCTCTCTCTCTCTCAAATCTCTTCCAGAGAAAATGATGGTTCATGGCATGGGACAGCTTGGGGAACAAACATCAAAGTTGGGAAATTTTCCTGTCTGTCTATTCAAGGTGAAGCTTCAACGCTCATACCACTTATCACACAGAAGGATGAAATACGGCAAGTTCTTCCAGTATTAATTTTTTTCTGTATGTCTGGGTTTGCAGTTACATATATTTATATGTGTGACAGAGAGAATAAATAAGAAATGTGAATTAATCTTTTTTTTTCATAAACTTAGGAAAGGAATAATGAGCTGGAATATAAGTCATTGTATGGTTTTTCTACACTCCAGGACTATCCTAATAACAAGGGCAGAGACAGTCTTGCATGATGAATATGGCGGAAAAAGATATTGGGCTGCAAGGAGGAGCATGCGGTTTGCCAACCACTTGATGTCAGAAGCTGCTAGGTTCAGAGCTGAATACCTCCATTCCGATGACATCAATGATAAGACAGTGGTGACTGATGACTGGAGAGACTTTAAGGTAAGAGATTTTATGTCCAAAGGAGGAACTAGCTAGTTAGGCAAAATGATAAGAGGGATTGCCCATTATGACTGATAGATATATGTTTACATTGCACCTTCTTGTACAGTGAAATAATAAAAACTTGTCAGAGATTAGTTTATTGGTATCTTTATGGTTTTGAAAAATGTTTTAGTAAATTGTGAGTAATCATAGTTCCTCTGGAAGCAAAAGTAGACAAACAAAAATAGATTATATTTACATAAAGCCACCTTTTTATGTAAAATTTACTTTTTGAGAAATGTAATCTTTACCACCATTGCCCACATGTAAAAACACTGTGTTCAGATGGGTACTTTAATTTTTTTGCAGCTTAACCCTCCAAAATTAATGATTTTGTGTTTCACCAATGCAAATTTTGGTTACATTCATTTGAAGAGCTTAAGTTTATATGCTAGAAAATGTACATTTCATTGTCATATCTCAAATACAAAAAGGTTTTGCAGTTACCCCACATTACTCTATGTATATATGTGGGTAGGTGTGTAGAATGATTAAAGAATTTAAAAATGTATAAAATGAAGGGATACTTCCTAAAACTGTTGTAATATAAATAGATTTTTTTTTTTTTTTTTCTACTTTTTCATAGGGTGACCAAGTTTAATCAAAGCAAGAATATTTTTTTTGCATGTATGTATGTATGCTTTTTTTCTTCTTTTTAACATTAATGTGTCATATAATATTGCAACAGATGGACTATTAACATTCAGAGATATATTACATTCTACGCAGCCCAAGCATGGAGCAGCACTCGGAGGTCCATACCTTTCAGTCCACCTGCGCAGACGGGACTTTATATATGCAAGAGGAGATGAAATCCCTAGCCTCAAAAAAGCAGCACAGCAGATGAAAGCATTACTGAAAGCACAGGAACTACAGGATGTTTATATTGCAACAGATGCTCCGCTTGAAGGTAGGTTATGTGTTGTAGTTGTGGTTGTGGACCCGATTATAAGGTGGTTGTTGAGGAGTAAAGTTCAGGGCTATGATTTTGGTTTTCCTTTGTCACTAAGATTAATATTTATTCCCTTGTACTATTATTTTTTTGCTTCCATGACAGAGTATGTCGAGCTGGAAGACCTCATGAAACCGTATAAAGTACACCGATACAAGCCCAGTCCAGAGTTCTTTGATCAGTGGGGTGACGGTGGCATAGCGATCATTGACCAGATCATTTGTGCTCATGCAAGGTTAGTTAGTTAGTTTTTTTTTTTTTTTTTTTTTTTTTTTTTTTTTTTTTTATCAATGAAATAAAATTAAGAATTTGACCATATGCATGCAAATGTAAGTGTGGGTGTGGGTATGTGTGTGGGGTAGGTGTATTTGTGGGTACTTTGATTAATTTTTTTTTTTTTTTTTTTTTTTTTTTTTTTTTTTTTTTCATTAAGTTATGGCCATGGTATTCAGCTCACAAAGGGTGTTATATCATCACAGAGATATACAAAGAATGAAAAACAGCCAGACAGCGACAAAGAGATGGTAATCTGAGCAATAAGCACGTATCTAATTTTCCTTTCTTCCCCCAGGTATTTCACTGGATCATATGAATCTACGTTCTCCTTCCGCATACAGGAGGAGCGAGAGATCATGGGCTTCCCAGTGGAAACAACATTCAATCGATTATGCGGAAAGAAGGCAAAGTGTGAGCAGCCAGCAAAGTGGAAGATTGTATTCTAAATATTTTTATATTATCAACAATTTTATGCATACAGATCATAGTTGTCTTGTGGTTGTATGAACCTTACATTCTAAACATTTGCCAAAGAAATTACTGTATTTGCCATATTCTCAAGAAGTCTCACAAAAATTTCCGTTCATGTTTAGTGTAATTCAAACAATCAGTGTGCCTGTGTGAATTGAAAAAAGACATTATAGGACCACTTATAAACTCAGGTTTTAAACCAGATACATACTATATGAAAGGATTAATAATTCTTTTAACTGATCCGAAGAAAACATAAGAACTCTTTCAGTTTAGGAGAGGAGTGTCAAAAGCCATTTAGATATGGATGATGTTTGTAAGTGAAATTTGATACAGTATAAATGTTGAATTCTGACAAAATACTCAGTTAGCTATTATACACAAGTAAATGGAAAATATGTATTCATAAAGGATATTACAAAAGGCTGAGCATCCTTATTCTGAAAATATGAAATGCAAAATGCTTCATACTTCAAAACTTTTTGAGGTAAAGTTGTCACAATTCTCCATATCTTGTATAGTTGCAAAATTTCATAAAAATTATCCCACCTTTCTCCTTAAAATTTCAGTGATATTCAGTACTTAATTGACAGTTTTGTTGTTACTTGTCCTGGTGTCAGACCTCACAAAAATTCTTAATATTGTATTTTGATTGTGTATGTTACTGACTTACTCTTGAAAATACTCCAATATCACAAAATACATATTCTTGTATGGTAAGTATGCCAAGTTGATATTCTATGTGAAAGGTATTTCTATCCACTTTAGATTTGTATAGACGTTAAACAAGTACTTGACAATCATGTGCATTTTTTCTTCTAAAGATATCTTATTTTTTACTTATATATATATATTATGTGTTTTTTTCATTTATTTTTTACATCCTCTCAATGAGATTACAAGTCACATTATTTTGTATTACAAGAGTGCAAGAAAGAAAAAAATATTAGTGTTAGTATGTTGCCAGGAATGAGATGCAATGTTATCTACAAACTATTTTCATCAGTAGCAACTGACAATAAAAGGTTTGTTACACTGGTAGCCTACTGATGATTATATTTTGCTGGTTATCATGTTATTTAATTTCTAGTGTGCCATATAGTGTCAGCATGTTTAAAGTTGGAGAGGTTAGCATTAGACATTCTTTTGTGATTGCCTCTGTATATTTATATAATAAAGTTATTTTATCAGCCAAGGCATTTTGACAAAAAAAATTGTTCCCTGAATTTTGAGAACTTTAAAGAATGTGATGCCCTTTCTGTAATGTTTTTGTGGAAGTATATTTGGTTATGAATATTGGTTAAGGAAGAACAGTGATGTTATTTTATGCATTATAAACCCAATAACTGCAATACTGGTACTCATCATACAATGGAGAGTACGTAGCTGGAATATAAACATGATAGGAAAGGGTTTTTAATCAAATATGCCAGATGTTCCTTTAACTATTTTCACCATCCACATGAACTCAGCACTCTCTCATTTTATAAGAACTGGAGCAAAAATGTTAAGCCAAAACACAAATTGCACAGTTTCGGTATTATTAACAGAAAGTAAGTACTGGAGCAAAAATGTTAAGCCAAAACACAAATTGCACAGTTTCGGTATTATTAACAGAAAGTAAGATAAAACCGTGAATGGGCAAAACAAATTATTTTCAAAAATATTTACCATCAACTGGTTCCAAAATAAATCCAATAGGAGACATTAAATCATATTAATTGAATTAATTAAAAATAATCCAATTACACTTACTTATATTAATAGGAGACATTAAATCATATTAATTGAATTAATTAAAAGTAAACACAAAAAACACAGTATAGTAATACAACAGATAATATACACTATTTTAAGGATTCTTATTTGCATTACACTGACTTCATATATCTTGTTAGTTATTCTTCCTGTGTCCTCTTTTTATTTCCCCTATTATCACTGTTACTGCCATTACTGTTATTATTTTTCTGTTTATCTTAATCAAGAGTACTTTTATTAATGGAAGAACCCATCCCATTTTAACATGATGTGACATATCATAATCTAATATCTAACCAAACATGATCAATCAAACCTTACCTTAAATGACCTATTCTAACCTAACATCTAACTAAACTTGATATATCTAACCAAACATGATCAATCAAACCTTACCTTAAATGACCTATTCTAACCTAACTTGGTTTATCTGACCTTAACAATACCTGATTTATGTGAACCTATTGTAGCCTTACATATCCAGGCCTAATGTGACATATGAGTTTATCTTGACCTGATGTAACACAACCTAACGAAACCTAAGCTAAAACAGCCTAACCTGACGTATACCAGTGTAATCTGACTTGATCTATTTGTATTTGACACCTGATTTATGTGAACCTATTGTAGCCTTACATATCCAGGCCTAATGTGACATATGAGTTTATCTTGACCTGATGTAACACAACCTATCTATCCCGATCTATCCAAACATAATCTAATATAGCCAATGTAACCAGACTTATTGTAACCTGGAACCTCCATGTGTTACTAGGCCCTGTTGGCTGCCACTTCCCTTTACCTAGGACAGTGCTAATGACAGAGATGGTATCTATGTCAGGGAATCAAAGGGCTGTCAGTCTTTGATAGTAGATAGCTCTGGTCAGTGAGCATATAATCGTATGAAGTCTGAAACAGTTATTTGGCTTCTTGCCTGTTCTTACTGTTTATGCTCCCACCAATATATTTGAATAAAGTGAATGTGTTCTTGCCAAAATTGACACTGTTGCAGACAGCAGTGGATTTCCTCAGTGGGATATCTACATTGCTTTGGGTGGCCAACTCAGTAACCAGTTGTGGTCCAGATGGCTCTTGGTCCTCATGGCTCAAGTGCTGATACTAGTATTGACATTGGAGGTCCTTGTGAAGTTGAGGATTTTGGGCTCCAGGTACCAGCACTGCAACGAGCTTCATTACATGTTACAGCATTGCTGGTAATGTAACTAAGGAGACTGACCACATCTTTGCTAATATTAATTGGAGGAGCCTTCAACATTGTATGGTTTCATGTAGTGTAAAATTCTGTGGTACCAATCATAGGTAGTTCATGGCTACCGCCTAGATCCACTCCACTCCACACTTGGACAGACTAAGGGAGGACAAGTTTACTCGAGTTTGCAGAAGCCATAATTAATTCAAACTGTCGTACCATGTAGCACTGAAGGGACACTAAAATGCAAAACACTTGCTGCAACTCAGAAGTCTGTTGAGCCATGAGACTTCTAACACTGCTGAGGAGGGATAAAAAACAGCATATCAGGAATCTTGCTGAGGCAGTCAAAGATCATTTGGCAAGTAACTGTTGTCCTGCATAAAAAGCGCTAACACTGTTGAGGAGGATAAAGGACAGCATATCAGGAATCTTGCTGAGGAGGGATAACAGCATATCAGGAATCTTGCTATAAAGAACAGCATAACAGGAATCTTAATGAGGCTAACACTTGCTGCAACTCAGAAGTCTGTTGAGCCATGAGACTTCTAACACTGCTGAGGAGGGATAAAAAACAGCATATCAGGAATCTTGCTGAGGCAGTCAAAGATCATTTGGCAAGTAACTGTTGTCCTGCATAAAAAGCCCTAAGAAAGTTGAATTCAAAACCTTTGCAGAGTCTAATTCGTTCAGTAGATGGTAGGGTCATTTCAGATCATAGGGCATGTGGGCGTTAGGCTGAATATTCTGAACAGCTGTTTCAGGTTGGGCCACTGTGATACCAGTGCTAGATCCGCCCATCAGTGAGGAGCTTCTGCTAGCGAGAGTTAGTGAGGCGGTCTCCAAGCTGAATGGTTCCACAATTCCTTCGCGTAACCGATCACGAGGATTTTGGTATCTATATATTCCCCTTTAGTACACATTTATGTAGGAATTATACCGCGGAACGCCCCCCACCAACCCAGCCGAACCCCCATGTTCTTAGCTCCGATAACAGCCAAGGGAATAAAAGGTACCAGGAAACTGTGGGATAAAATGTGAAAAGAACATACACAGAATCTGGCAATATATTGTTAAATGCATGGGGATGTGCTTCCTGCGACCCCCCTGCCGTCCCCAATCCCCGCCCAGGAAAACGAAGAATCCTATATTCACGGCAGGAGAGTACATCGGGCGCTCCCGCATGTCGTTCGTACGCTCCAAGGTCACCTTATTACGATCTACCCTGCCGTGATTACGCTCTGCTCTACTGTGAATACGTGGAGGATTCTTTTTCTTCCATTGCCGGGGTTGGAGGCACAGCATTAGACTATATAGTGACTGATTCTGTGTATATTATTCATATTATACCCAGCAATTTTCCGGGTACCTTTCATGCCAATGGGGGAGGGGTCCGCAGCATAATTTCGATATATTTGGCTTGTAGAGAGTGAGATGAATCCATCAATCCATCGATACCCAAAATCGTCATGATTGGTTATTCGAAGGTATTTCGTAAAATCACCGATGGTGGTAAAGCAATGGACATGTTGATTATCCCCGCTGACTTACTGAAGTGTGTCCATAGCTCATGGTTTGCATGCTCGCTTGTTTGTCATCTGGCTGGTTGATACCATTCCCATGGTTCTGCTGAGAACCTTAGCCCCTTTAGAAGGGGGAGAGGGGATAGAAGAAGCAGCAGTAAATTAAGGCAATAAGTTGAGGCATTACACTATTCACCCTAGGAGACAAGGTATTCTCTCTCGGTCTTTCAAGATGTCACAGAGAACACTTTTCGAGGTATCAGAGGCCATAGCAACCTGAATTCACTTCTGGCAAATCGACAGTGGATTAAACCAGTGGTTCCCAACCTTTTTATTTTTCAGGCGACCCCAATCGTGCACTTCCAGACATGACCGCGACCCCAGTCTATACTACAATGTATAGGCTCACATTATATTATCATATTTATATTATTCAATACATATATAAATCATTTTTTAGACAAAAATCGTCAGTTGCGATTATATTTTCTTTAGTTCGTTTCGTCGGAATTCAATTTTTGTTCTTTCTTTTTCTTGTTCGGTTGCATCTTAAGTTATTGTTTCATAATCAAGCAATATTTAGCCATTATCTCTCAACCAATATGTGACTAAGTATATGCTGAAAACTTATAAAGACAGAATCGACCACGTCTGATATTTTGAGGTCTTGCAATCCCCAGGGGTGGGAAAGGCTGGATTAAACCCTTACACTTGGAGTCACTAAACAGAGCCATTGTGAGTTCGGTTGTGGGTTGTTTACACCCTATATCGACCTCAAAAAGGCACACCATGAATCGCTCTGGTAGATCCTGAGGCGTGAACGTATTTTGTCAAAGATTATTGTACTAACAAGTATATCAATCAATCTTTAAATGATGGCTAACTCCGCCGGGGGCGCATAGCTGCATCCACCCATTGTTTCCACCCTCATGGCGAGCTGCCAGGCAGTACCTCGACCCATCTCTAGCTCCTCAGATCAGATCTAATCAATCTGGCCAAGCCACAACTCCGTAGGAATTTAGGAGTGAGGCAGGGCTGCGTTATAACTTTTCTCAACACTTCCATAGATCAGGTAATTGATAGTTTTCAACTCCGTAGGTCGTCCTATAGGCCTCCTCCACCCGGGGTTACCTCGAACAGAGACCAAGCATAAACACTGGCAAGGAAATTATTGTTGTGTGGTTTCTTTTAGCTTCTTTCTTGCAAATTTAGGAGCGAGACAAGGCTGCGTTTTTGTAACTTCATACCAAGGATTTTATTTTATTGACGCCTTTCGTAGCAGGTCCTTGCGTCTGATCATGGAGTACAGCTGGGTGAACCAGGTGTACATCCAAGTTTCCCGAAGCTGCGTTTACCGTTGTTGGCCCTCGAGTTGGTAGCCGGAACCAACTTAAGGTCCAGCAACGGTAAACAACGGTGTGTATTTGCACATATGGATTCTTACAATTTATTATACACTTGCATTTCAATTTTTAAAATTTGTCACTACTATTACTTGCAGAAAAAAATACCGTACAGCCGTATTAACTGCAATACAAATGTCTTAAATTCACATATTAATAATTCTAGTTTACCCGCTGGCCACTTGTGATTATCTCGAGGGCCACATTTGACATTTTTTATTTGATTTATCCTTGCTTAGCCGAACCTGTTTTCCCTAGCATGAATTTAACCTGACCAGCTCATACCGACCTGAAATAGCCC